GGAGGGAGGGAGGGCGGGAGGGCGGGGAGGGAGGGAGGGACGGGAGGGGTAGGGAGGACCAGCCCGACATCCACCGCGCTCGCTTCTGCTGTCCACTGCTCGCCCTCCCGTCGAGCGTCCGCTTGGCTTCGCCGGGTGCCTTCCTCCGACTTCTCAGCTGGTCGTGCTTCGTCTCCAGTTCATTGTTATTGTTTCTTCGGTTTCTTCAGATGTGGAAATGTTATTGATTGATTTATTTAAAGTGAGATCTCGTGTGGAGGAGAGAGAGTTCTAAAAAGCAATAGCCATTTCAACGTTGTTGTATTTGAAGCGCTGGATGAAACTTGAAATCTTCATCGTCGATGTCACGTGGTGAAAAACATCGTTAACAAAGAAAAATATTGGCCTCGGTCACGTGATTGGTCTCGATGTCGCATATATGATGTGTCGAGCGACTATTGGCTCGCATTCTGAGGTGAGAATATTGCTGAGAACTCCCGCCCGATCCACGTGAGGATTCAGGGTTTGTGTGGCATGTTTTCCGGACGCTTTCCTTTGCGGGAAAGACGGATTTACGGGAGTCCTCGGGGAAACGAAGTGGCAATGGATGATTCATCGGAATTTCTATGAAGAATTTTACAAAGGCTCTTCCATGAACTATGAGGTTAGTTACCAGACAATTGTCATGAATGTTCGCCTGGAAATTCATGAAATAGTTCTTCCAGTCTTACATCTGAGACCGAACTGCGTCAAGCACGCACGAAAACGAATAAAATTTCCCGGGACTCACGGCAAACTTGGGCTGAAACGCAGGAAAAGTCGGACGTTTCATCGCATCGCTTCACCTCGGGCTCGAGAGTGCCCACCTGTGTGCATTCTTGATAACATGCCCCAAGCGATGAATGTGCATTCCTCCTGCCACTTGTGGCTTACTCCTCTCCGTGTTAACACGACCATGGCTGCAAGGCTTCATCTAATTCGGAGGCAGCTTCGTCGGGAAAGAGTACTTCTCGACCGAAATAGTCCCTTGGAAGTGTACGATGATGAAGGACTCCGGAGCAGATTTAGACTCTCACGGAGCCTCATCTTGGAAGGCTTCATCTAATTCGGAGGCAGCTTCGTCGGGAAAGAGTACTTCTCGACCGAAATATTCCCTTGGAAGTGTACGATGATGAAGGACTCCGGAGCAGATTTAGACTCTCACGGAGCCTCATCTTGGATATCTGTGCCCTAGTCCAGGTGAAAATACAAAGGGGTACTGCCCGTTGTGGAGCACTACCAATCCAGCTTGTATTGTGTGGCACTTCGATTCCTAGCCACAGGTTCCATCTATTCCATGCTCGGGAATGGCCAAGGCCTTTCCATTCCTACCATATTTCGGTGCATCCATTCCGTTTGAGGCCATCTTTGAAAACATAAAGAAGTTCATTGTGTTCCCTGCATCAAGAGAAGATCTCGTCAGCCTGAAGAATGGCTTCTTGCAGGCATTCAACTTCCCAAACGTCCCATCGATGGGACATATGTCCCGATCGTGGCTCCAAAAGACAATGAACACGTATATGTGAATCGTAAAGGATTCCACTCCTTCAACGTTCAGACACTAGACAGCATGTCTCTGATAATGTTGCCATGGAAACTAAGGAGGCTTCGTGAAATGGATTTTGAGTTGAGTTAAAGTAAAGATAAAGTAAAGTTAAAGTAAAGTTAAAGTAAAGTTAAAGAAAAGTTAAAGAAGTTTCGTGAAAAAGGCCCCAGGATATCTAAATGCAAGACGTCCGAGATATAATTTTTCTCATGTCGATCGGGCGCACGCAGACCGTCCTAGAGTAAAAACTACCAAACCAATTTCGATAAACGAGGAACAGATGGAACCGTCTGGACTTCGGAGTATGCGTCCCTTACGGTTTTCTATCAAATTCCGACCAAGTACGGAAAGCGCTGAAAAAGTACTCGATGTTCAGAACATACAGAAGATAGGTTCATAGAGAACATTATCAGAATCTGACAAAAGAGGAGCTGGTAGACTTTCTTCTTTGAAAAGAGGCCGAAATTGTATCTGAGTGTAACAATCTTAGTGGAGTGAATTCCGTCTCTTCTCGACCCCAGACTTCGCCCATGAGTTTACGTGTTTGGACATACTTGAATAACGGCAAGATACAAAACTCTTTCTTGAAATGAACACTTGTCCTAAATTCAATTTCGACTTAGTACCTACTCTCCGGATGGCATCAACCTTTCTGTCCATTTCTTGTGCGTCTCCTGATTTCCTTTTCCCAAACCCCCCCCCCCCCTTATTTTTTCTTTCTCTCTCTCCTTTTTCTCTTATTCCTTCGGGTACTACAATACTATTCCATTGAAGGCCTACGAGGCCGAGGATCTTGGAAACTTTTCCCTCATCTTTCCCATAGACCTTTCCTAAAAGTAATGAATATACATCCTATAGGTCTACGACTACTCCCATCTCTTTTCCTAACCTGGCTATCGCGTCTGGAGAGAAACAATCGCAGGAGGATTCGGATGATCCTCCTCATCATCTCACAGAACATGGCAATTGCCTCTGCATCTGGTTTCCCGATGAATTCATTGTATGCGGCGCATCCAACACGTACTTCATAGGCCTACATATCGGATAACTACGAAATTCGTTTTTGGTCCAAAATCAACTTCATTGGGAGGAGAGCACCTTTTATTTTCATGAAGCTCATGAGGGATCTTCCTTGATTGGTTCTAGCACTCACAGGGGATGACACGCAACACCAACATCCATTCGCCATTACTCTTCTCAACTGGAAACCTTGTTTCTTCGAGTAAATCCCAGATGGCAGCTGCAGTTCAATCATTTCATAGCCTTCTTTTACACTAATGAATCGACATCTCGCACCGATTGGATCGAGCCCAAGGACATCTTTATTTTATTAAACATCGTCTATCCAACGGTACCCATGACGTTAGAAGACGCGATAGGCAACTTTACCTTCCATTGAAAAAATTAAGGTTTACGCGAAAATAAGAGCAAGTTTTGTCCCATGGGAAGAATAAATCCTTGGATGCTAAGGAATCAATTTGAAAATTTTCAGCGCTCCCATAAGTCCCATAAGTCACTATACCATTTCCAAAAATCACATTTATAAAACAGTTAGTGCAAAAATGAAATAACATTAACTGAACGATAGTATGTGATTTGGAATTATCTTTGTAAAAAAATGGAGGTATTTCTGAGTTTTGCAAGTGCCTCAAAATGTCCTCCGCCTACATCAATACATTTGACATGAGGCTCAGCGCCAAAAAATCGTCGAAACTCCCTCTGAACTCTGATGGGGTCTCTCAAAGGCATCCATCCAAGTTGGAGATTTTCTTCGTTGCTCCAGCATCAATTACGAAGAAATTAACAGTGAAATCTCATGACTGCGAAATCAAATTTAATTAAATAATATATATTTTATATATCTCGAGTCTGTCGCAATTTAGGAAGAGAGAAAAACGTGAATTTCGGCAATTTCGTAGAAAATCATTCAACAAAGGGGATCAAAAATGTCTCTAAGAAAGCCTTCCTTACTAATATGCATTTGAAGCTATTTCTGTTTGAGGATGTTTCAAAGTCATTATTATGAAAATAATTCTAAAGATAGTTCTTTCCATCAATACTAGCAACACTGACCTGCAACTTGTAGTTTGGAAAATATTATAATATGAAATGGTATAGTGACATGGGACACCCTGTATATTCAATGGTTTGCGTGCTAGAGCGCTAATAGGCACGGAGGCAGGCATACGATAACAGGCAATAACAATTTTCTGACAGGCAAGGCTTTTTCACGTGCGCTGTGTCGAACCTTCATTCGCTAAGCCTTCGACTTACTTCACTACAATTTGAATGACAAAATGGATTAGTTTTTGAGACACCTGTATGAAGTGAAATATTTAAAGAAAGTCTATTGACAGAAAGAAATGAAGATTCAATGCAGATTCAAGGAAGGCTGAATTGGGAATTGCATTAAATAGTTTCCTACAAAGACTTCTCGACAATGACATCTCTCCCCTCGAATGCTTCAAAACAATGAAAGGACTGATAGAAATTTCGTTTCTGTCCTGCAATACCATCACCTGTACAATCAGGCAATTAATTTCCATCACTTTTAGACTTGAAAGCGGGAAGTAAGCATTCTGTCAGAAATTTGCTGGCTTTAGAATCTGAGCACAGAATATTTTCAGCATGGGCTTTAGTAAGAAACAACAATGCTAACATTTCTAGCCTTAGCCCAGAAACGTCCAGCATCCGTCCAGCGCGCGATGTCCTTCAGTCACTAACAAGGTCTGAGGTCAAGCATCCGCATATTTATCCTCTCGCGAGAGACTGATACGCTAAAAAATAACCTAGAATGAAGCCAGAATGAAAGGGCCTGCAGAAGTACCTCGAAGTATCCGCTTTTGCGGACGAAGGGTAGGGAACAGACGAAAATGACGGCGAGGACGAAGAGGAGTGCGACTCCTGTGGGATTCGCCCAACCCGGGATGAGACCAAAATGACCAGGTCGGGCACTCAATAGCCATACCCCATAACTGTATCCATGCGGATTCTGCTCCGGATTCCCCACCACATTCATAGCTGGACACAATCGTTGTACGTACATCACGCCACAGAACTGGAATGAGCTACGTCAAGAAGTGAAACTCGGCCTATTCGCTGGCCCAAGTAACACAGTATGTTGATGAAACGTTTTCGAAATGTTGCCTATGTTGCTCTATGTTGCAAGTTGCTGTAGAACATTGAGAAAACATTGCTTCGATGTTTTCACTTGGAATGTTGCTGCGACACTTTTACGAATGTCATTGCAACATTAGCTATCAACATTGAGAGAAAAAGTGCCCTTCTCCCTTTCCCTGGAATAGTCCCGCATTGGAATGTCTAGTACTTTGCCATATGTCTCACATTGTCTCATTATAGGAATCAATGAACACGGACACTTCATCACCTGTTATCCTCATTTTCCAGACAGATTAATGGGGTCGAGATAAAAAAAAAGCTCATATTCTCAAAAAGAACCCTTTTCCAAGAATTCGTCGAATTCATCCTACAGGGTAATAAAAACGATGGTTGAGAGTCTGCGATCTTAATACTTCATATCCTCATCCTGGGCATTAGCTGAGGAAACGAAGGATTGATCTCGTGGACACTCCAAAAAACATTGCGGTCGGACCTTTTCCTGTATTGTGCAATTTAGCACATTCAGGGAAAGATCACCTCCAAAAATGTACTGTCTTCTGCCTGTACATGATACAGATACTGTATTATGCATGAGTAGAGGGTAAAACCAGTACAGACTTCGTCCTGTTGATGAGGATTTCTGGGTAGAAAGGTATATGGTACGAAAGGATGAAATAAATAATTCAATATTGGTCGAATATCAGTCCAGTTCAGGACCAGTGAAGCCTACGCTTTTCCATAATGCCCAGATTAGGTGCCCGTGAAGCAACGTTTTAAATCAACATTGCGGCAACATAAGTCCTGAAACGTTTCTGCAACATATGAATAAGAATGAATAAGTTACGATTTTCAACGTAAATGCAATGTTCCTTCCCAACATTTGAGCAACGTTGACGTTTTGGACATTTACACATAGATGCAACATCGTTCATCAACATTTCCTAAACATTGCTGGAATATCTTGTGTTACTTGGGTGGGTCCCAGGTTTCGATTTGCATGCGACTTTCCGCTCGATAGCGTGGCTCGGCCAGCGCTGAAGCGATTTAAAATGCAGGTGGCTCAGTGTTCTAGTCTGTAATATCGCCTAGCCATCGTTTAAGCAAGATAGTGAAAGCTGTCAGGTCACACGAACGGCCGAAGGTTCATCACTGTATCCCATAGCATACATGGGCTAGGAGTCCCCAAAAAGCCAGACTGAGAGGTTCTTAGACGCCATCCCACCTCATGTCCTCCCCACTTCGTTTCCTCCCTTACACCGTTAAGGGATATTAACATATTGCATATTGGCGCTGGGGCTTAAGTGATCGATGGTAACTGGGGAGGATGTCCGTATCCCAAGCAAAAAATAATCGGGGACCCCGGGAATAGGTTACTCCTTTCGGGAAAGGAAACAGACCGAAGTTGATGAGATGTGCGATCGTGTGAACGATGGAGTAAAACACAATGCACCAGCCGGTGAGCTTGTGGAAGTAGAGATTGTGATCGATGGGGAGGAAACTGCCAAACCCATGGCCTCGCATCCACGTCAGGGCTCCACGCAGCATCACCACGATGATGAATACGCTCGTGAAGTTCAGGCACTGTCCTAGGGGAACCAAAACCGTCAACTTTTATTCAACGTAACTCTCACCTCGACGCCTGGATGTGCACCGGAGAAGTTGAGGAAAGTACCGAGAGTGTAGTTCATCTGAAAATTGAATAGAGAGAAAGTGCTAATGCATATACGGTCGAGGCCAAGACCGTAGCCGGTATGTGGTGAAGTTTCCTAGAAACTAAAGAGATGTTTTTCACCTCCTTGGTAGGATTCAGAATTTTGATAACCCCCGGGGGTTCATTGGGATCGTTTTAAACTCGTATCACCTCTCACTGGGGAGATTCCAAAACACCCAGTTTAGCTCTTATTGCTTTCGTAATTTTATATATCCCTGATGGGAAACGGAATATTAGAATAGGCAGATGAAATATAATTTTAGTTCGGTCGAAACGAAGTCAAAATAAATTATTCAGAGACAATGATAAATGTATTGATCTAGCCTCGGGGTATAAATAAACTCTGAAAACCCAGTTGTTTATTGGATGACTTTCACATTATGCAAATCCCCTCTACTATATACTGTATATAGCCCCTCTTTCTTTCATGTATAGTAAGGCCCGATTCTTTTGCCTTCAAGCTTCTAAGAGTCATTTAATCAGACTCTAAGGGCGGATTTTTGAACAGAGCACTATCCGATAATGCTGCTTTATTTCCAGGAAATGTCACGTATTTTCCCTGGAATAAAGCTGCATTATCAGATAGTTCTCTGTTGAAAAATCCACCCAATGTCTTCCAGTCAAGAGTACGGCTGTCACGATAGATCGATGCATCGAATCCATTAGCGATGGTTGGAGGTATCGATTGTTGTTTCGACTATCGCGATGTATAGGTAAATGATTTTAAAGGGGAAATGTCCCATTGCATTGGGTTGAGGCGAGTACAATACCTCCTTCCCCCGTCCGGGCGGGGGAAGGAAGCGGCGGCGTGACTCGCATGGGCGAGCAATTTCTTATGACAATCAAATTCTGGAAATTCTGGGACTGACTATACGAAAGACGGAAAGGGAAAAAAAAATGCTGGATCGGAGACAGGAAGAGGGAAGGGTGAGGGAGGGAAGACAAATAATATTAATTTCTCCTCATTCATTCTTCGGCTCGATCTCATCTCGATCCCATGCTGCGAAAGTGGACTGTTCTTATACTCTCTTGATTTCGAAACATACATTGGTTAGTCCCCCTCTATATAATCCTGTCTTTCTCTTTAGGATGCAGGCTTATGTTTAAAAATTTTTAACTTTCCCCGGGGCGTTTTGCCTCTTTACATTCTTAAGTGAATTTTTTACATGGACGTTGCTTATTCTAGGGCTGTTCGATGTTTCGGCAACCGCTGGTATGGCACCATCGGCAGGTTGCTACCTGCCGGTACCGATTTCCAAAGAACACCGTGTAGAACGAAAAAAAAAGGAATTACTTGAATGGGCTTAACAACTGATTCTCAACGGCAATAAGAGAAAATTAAGGCTGTCATGATGCATCCATCGATGAATGGATGTCATCTCCGGTAGCTGGAGGCATGGTAGGTTTCATTACTCCCTGCGAAAGTCACACCTTCCCACGCACACACTGATCACAAGCGTGAGATTATGACAGCCAGATAGAGGTCCGCGCTCCGATCTCGGCGAGAAAGGATGGAATCCTCCGGACCCCCCCCCCCCCCCCCCCGATGCATCGATACACTATCGACAGTTTAGGTCGATGCATCAATGTTTTGAAAACTGCTATCGTGACAGCCATATTTATAATAAAGTATCAATAATAAAATTAAACCCTTTTGTATGGTTCCCTCCCAACTCAAGATGTTCCTGCCTTCAATAGAAAACTTCAATCGAAATGACAGAGATTCCCAATCTGTGAGCTGTAATCCCCAAGTTCAGGCGAAAATGATCGTGAATTTATAGAGGGTTGCATGCGTAAAAAGGTTGAGAGTGCTTCTCAACCTTTTTACGTGCTTGAGTTCCGTGCGAGGAAAGAGCAAAATCCATCGTTGACGATCGTTAGTGTCGGGACAAAGAGCAAAACCGGTTCTTCCCACGCGCACTGTTCGCTCCATAGGCCAATTCCATTCCTCTTCTTGATGGCTCATTGGAGACTGCTCCTTGAGTCTAAGGATTGGAATGTGGTGGAAGTGGAAGGATTTGAAGCTCATGCGACTAGTGCTTCTGGACGAGAAAGGAAAACGCGTCGTCTTGGTTTCTCCATGACTTCTCTCCCGAATTCATGAAGGAACGTTTCTTTCGACTTTTCCTTCTGTTAGATGAGATCAAAATTGCCCCAGCGTTGCTCCCTGTCCAATTGATCGTCGCAGAAAGCACATGGAAAGTAAACGATATGAACTTATTCCTTGCTGATTAAGCTAGCAGATTAGATGCGTAATAACGACGTCGCTCTTCTTCTACCATCCTTGGGGCTGAGAGAAGTAAAAGACATCCGCGCTCTACGAGCTGCATTCCTTACGCCTTCAAGAAGAGGAATGGAATTCGTCCTTCGAGCATTCCTAAGCCATCGGTAGGGAACGTAAAGATCTCATTGAAAGGGACAGTGAAGGAATGAGGATGTCTACCGCAAGCCCTGGCAATGATGACGAGGAAGTGAGATTCCCAATACGAGAAGATGCGTGCGACGATGAGTGCGAGATTCACGGCCCAAAATAGGAGGAGCCAGATGACGAAGATGTAGTTGTTCTTCAGGTAAGAGAAAGAGAATGCACGCGGCTTCAATCTGCTCAATCCCTTCCGCAAACTCCTCGGCTCTGCCGGTTGAGGCGGCACCAACCATCGATCGATCCTGTACAAAATTCATATCCATGATCTATTCAAGCCGTTCCAGGAGTGTCTTAAGCAATCGAAATGCCTCACATAGAAATAAGATGCGAGACTTCTCAATGCAAAAAAAAAATTGAAAAAAAATCCTCGTGATAGTGTGTTATAATTTGTTCTAGTAAAAAATCGAAGAGCTATCTTTCTCGGCACAAAAGTGTTAGTAATGGCCAATAATACCAGAACGTTTCAATTAAAAGTAGGTATTTTTTGCGTATGCCACACGTGTGGGGTTGGTATCGAATAATCGAAACTTATATCGACGAATAGACATTTGGTCGAAAAACGGTTACGCGAACGCGACCATACATCGAAGGATTCATTCATAGAAGTGTCTGGAGATCGAAAGGCTCAATTCGCCGAAGGCTTACTAGGCCGAAAGAAATACCGGTTTATTTTCTTCTTTTTTGGACCGTCTCGAGCCATGTGTCTAGTCAGATGTGCCCTGGTTAATGTCTGGTTGCATCCTGCTGTGCATTTTGCATTTGAATTATGTCTGAAATAATCAAGTCTCAAGGAGGGCAGGATATGTTGGTGATGCATGGATATCTCTTCCTGAAGAACAAGGTGAGGCACTGAAGAATCATTCAGCCTTATAGACTGAGCAGCTAGGTTTACGATTTTTTTATTATTCCCCCAATATTTCTACACCTGTTTGCTCCGAGCTGTAAGACAACCTTTTCTTTTCGTGAAATCGTCGTCCGCTACTAGCTGATATAAAACGGGCGGAAAGCGGGCCACATTCCAGGGGAAAAGGAAAGCATCGATTGACAAGAACAACAGAATTCTGACAATCACGCGTACCTACGCTGCAATATGTCTTACTTGAGAGGTCTTTCCTATAATGTTTCTCTTTGAGATGAGTGCAAATATCCGTGTCTTTCACATTCGACCATTTGACCTTGACTTTCCAATGAAAACCATGATTCAAAAATTGCTATACTCTGGCATTTCAATCTTTCGACGAAAATCAGCTTTCATCGAAAAGATTTTGCTTCGGCGAAATGTGCTTTCGGCCAATTATTCGATGCTTAGAGTTTCGTCCATTTGATTAATCGACATTTCGAGTTTTCGGCGATATGAATTTCGATGAATAGCTGTTCGGTATTTTGATACGTTCCCCACGTGTGTGCGTTATGAGCGCAGAAAATGTCACGGTCATGCGTACGCAATGGATAGATTCTCGAGGAGTCCATCGTATTTAAGGAGATGAGCCTTGAGAGCTTCATAAGTGATCGAGCCGCTATATTCTGTGTCGGCCTCCTCGAATAATGCTCCCGTCAAATCCCACTCTTGCTCCTCGCTGAATTTCATTCCATTCTCCTCCATGCACGCCTTCATCACCTCGTGCCATTCCTTCTGCTGAATCAACCCGTCTCCTACGGTGCGAACGAGAGGAGAGAAGAGAAATTTGACGTCACTTGTCTCACGATGAAGGGTCGGTTGTGAAAGCGATGAAAGGGTGCGAAATCTCCCCTGTCGTGCGGGTATGAACGACACGACTGTCATTCATTTATTTCTCCAAACCCATTCCAAACTCACCGTCCAGGTCGTAGATTTTGAAGAGGAACCGGAACTTGTCGTCGGGTGCCTTCGTCGCGAATTGGTTCATCGCATCGATGAACTCGGACAGAGAAATGGATCCACTCCCGTCTCGGTCGAAAATCCGGAACACTCTCTCCGTGAAGAACGGCTATACGATCGGGAATCGGTCATCATCTCCCTTTTTCTACGACAGAAACCTCGTTTCTGAACGATTGTGAACGCACGTTTTTGGACTGAAGGATCTTCTGGAACTCCTCGAGATGAATTTCCTGGTCCTTTCCCATGGTCTGCTTGAAAAGATTCTCCAGCCATGTTAGGTTCTCTTGAGTCAATGCCGTCATCCGCCTTAAGCATATAAATATGTCCATATCATGTGGCATAACCGGTTTGAAGTAGATAGATGGTTGACTCAAATGAGGTACCTGGGAGCTGAGATCTCGGCTAAGAAGTCCATGATGTGAGTGGGGCTGAGAAATCCGTCCGAGTCTCGGTCTGCCAAGAGGAGCAACTTCTTCAACACCTGAATTTCACATGGGGGAAAGAGAAGTAGAAGGAAGATTTTTTTGCGAATTTCCCATTAAAATGGTAATGATTGCAGTGGATAGAAAATACGGCCAAGTGTAGGAGAGGGAAAGACGTACGCTCCTGGCGTTGAAGATGTGAATAAATTCTTGGAGACGAATGGGTTCTTCGCCTCGAATTTCATATGCCAGCGTCTCCAACAATTCCACCCATTCCAGGCTTAGATCCCATGACGAACTCTTCTTCAAGTGCCTATCGCAGAGCAAACGTTATGTTATATATGCTTTCCAAGTCAAAAGTGGAAACGAGAAAGTAAAATGAGACTTTGTGCTGGATGTTAGACTTCAAAGAAAAGCATCTTAGGCATAAGGAAAGAGAAATGCGACTGGTGTATATCAAGCCTGCGCCAGGGGACTGCTACCCAAGTAGCACACACACGTTGAATCAACGTGGATTCAACGTCATTTCGTCAACGCCGCTAACGTTGAAACCACGTTGCCAGTCAACATTGATTCTACATTGAAAGTTCATTTTTATCAACAATTGATTCAACGTTGACATCAACGGTATATCAACATTGATTCAATTTTCAAAACCAACATTGCAACGTTGCTTCAACATTTGCTTATCAACGTTGACTCCATATTGAGAATTCATTTTCTTCAACATTTAAGAAATGTTGAATCCACGACGATTCAACGTTAATATGACAGGTCTCAACGATCTGTTTAATTCCTGTGCATGCGCCGTTTCATGGCTGAAGCATCTGGACACGATCTCCATCCTCCGAATCCGCTTTTTTAAGATACCCCCATCCAAGGACGATGCGAACCTAATGCCGAGATGAGAAAGAGGCATCCTGTTCCCCCTGAAGCAGGACACCGACGCGATTACCGTGATTTAAAAATAAGTTACCCTCACTCCACGCAGCCACCGGCAGTGATCATGAATTGGATTCATCCATCGAAAACAGGGTGACGTGCTCTCATGGAGTAATATGACCTCGCATACTGTGTCCATCACCCTGCTCAGAATTATCCTGGGTCTTGTTTGGTTGGGTTGCCACGTTGGTCGAATATATCCAGAAAGTCAAATTCCTTCCCAGGCGTCGTTTGTGGAGAAAATATCAAGTACTGTTCCAAAAGTACTAGAGACGCGTACTGATTGCATGTATATGGTAACTAACCATGTTGGACAAGTAGTTGCCATCATATTTCGCAGTCTGGAAACCAGTCGTTTGTGGAGAAAATATCAAGTACTGTTCCAAAAGTACTAGAGACGCGTACTGATTGCATATATATGGTAACTAACCATGTTGGGCAAGTAGTCGCCATCACATTTCGCAGTCAGGAAATCTGGTTTGTTCGCATGTCTCGCCTGACATCTGTTGATGTAACGTTGATCGGACGGCGTTCTCTCAATATTGATCTTTTCAACATCGAATCAACATTGAATCAATGTTGAAGGATTGATGCCATACTGGAGCGTTCTTTCAATTAATATGTGAGCAATGCTGAGGAGGTTGAATTTGTTTCGCGTGAGTCTGTCCTTTCTTTGGATGACCTATATTACTTCGATACGTGCTAAAGGCATTCACCATATCGTGTTACGCAGCAATAATAAAAAAAAAACAATCATATGGAAAACACTACATGAAGACTATGTATCAGCAAGACCGTCCCAGAAAAACACTTTCTTATTATTATTAAGGAAAATAGGAAAGATTCCAGCAGTCATTACAGTTCAAGCCTAATTAGAATATATGTAGCTAGTGTCTTCACGTCATTTCTCCTACACCAAGCCCTTGATGGCCTACATAAACACGTCGGTGCCTATTTCGGGAAATAGGTCGGACACAGTAAGTTTCTGACTCAGTAATCGTTGCTCCTAGTTATGCGAGCTGAAAATGCCATTCTGCTACAAAATTCGAGTACCTTTCAGCCACTGTCTTATTTGCTCGAAATCGAACGTTCCTCTTGAAAGAAATATTTCCTCGTAGATTGGCTGAAGTAATTAATTGCAAACACAGATGGAGAAAGCATTAAAAAAAAAAATCATTTACTGCAAATACTTCGACCGTGAATGGTCCAGCATTGAATGAATGTTGGCCCAAAGTGGGTGTATAAATGGTGACGGTCACCGCGTTGAATAAATGTTGAAGTAACATAGATGTAACAACAGTGATGCATTCAATCCACACCCAGTCAACAATGATTCAACGCCTTTTTCCAAACACATCGGTGTCTATATCGGGGATGAAAATACCAGATTTGTTCAGATTTCGAACTCCTGCTTTACGTCACCTAGGTGGCCCTTGTGATCCAACAGTCACAGGGCCACTAAACTCCATCGTCTAGGTGCCCCACCCCTAGGAAACTAAGGTTTGAAGTTCAGGGTTACTAGACTGCCCATTGCAGCGTTGCTTGCAAAACCATTTTTTAACGATTTTTAAAAATAAAAAAAAATTTCATCTAATCAAAAAGTCGGACATGCGACAGAATACGCGTTTGAATGCGAGTGTGGTTCGTAGAATGTCTCTCTCCCGTTGTAATGTTAGGGATGACATGGAAAGGACTGGAGTTTCGTGGCGTAGTGGCAACGCGTTTGCTTCGTAAGCAGGATGTCTAAGGTTCAATTTCCGATCGCGTCATTTTGTTTTTAGTCTTATGCTACCCGAACTCTTCCCCCACCCCCCTCGGGCTATTACGTTGTCGAGAATGTATCCGACAGTCGCAAAGGCCGGAAAAAAAAAGTGCTCCTCCGCGAGGGAGACATACAACCGAGGCAGGCAGAAGGCGACGCACAAGCGCACAAGGACTTGCGGACATGCACTCAGACCCAAGCTTTGGAGGCTTCATATGCACGAACGCAGCTTCATTGTGTTTTTAATATAAAGGACTAGCTTAAGTACCCGGCTTTGCCCGGAGAAATTCAATATTTCATGCATGACAAATTGGGGAACGTTAGCCTTATGGTCTTCTATAAGTTACCGATCTTGAGTGTCGCAAAATGCGCTCGGACCCCTTTCCCTTTTAATTTTATGTTTGCACCCTTTGAATAATTTCTAAATTATTTTTAAGAGAAAAAAACTTATTGGTAATGCTTTTATCGTTTTGAAACATTTTCAATGAGAACTTGATCAAAAGAAATTACTTACTACCTACTGTAGTGATCCAGAAATGGGATTACCCCGGGGTAATGTAATGCAGGTGGCCGGTAGAGGAGAGTTGGATGGGTTGAGAGGACAAAAAAAGAAGCTGGGGAGGGCCGGGAATCGAACCCTGGCCTCCTGATCGTCGGTGAGGTATGCTACCACTGCACCACTGAATCCAGGAACGAGGCGCTCCTCTCAATGGCATCTCAGACAATACAGGCCCCCGGAAAAGTACCACGGGAGTGAAAATTTTGGATCGAAACATAGCCCTCGACTATGAAAGAGGAGACCATGTAAAGTTTGGTTGCACTGGCTCCTGCGGGGTCCGAATGCATAAAGGAACAGACAGACAAACTTTCTTCTTTATATATAGAGAGAGATATGTTACACCGATCCAGCCTCACAAAAGCACTTTCGTTCATTAGTAAGGTAAATGCCTAGACATGAACATGTCCAAGTCAATCGATTAATTGGCTTTAAAAGTATATACGCATATGATTTTTATTGAATCTCCTTTTTCTAATTTTTCGTTTGTATTGAGACAATTCCACCATGTGAGATGCTCGCGAAAATTTTTTTTGGTTTGTTTGCTGCGATAGACTTTAGGCCAGGCGTCTTTTCAGCCATCCTCTTATCTGCCCTAAAGCAGGCATTTTTCGTGATCGTAATGTATTGTGGGCGATTGGCTAAACTACTCAACGAACCATGATGAAGTACACACAAAAAATCCTAACGGAAGGTTAAAAAAAAATTATTTTTTTTTTACCGTGAAAGAATCCATTGAATCGAGGTTGATTTAATATCGACACTTCCACCGTAAATAATGCATCATTGATTCAATGTGGGTGTATAAACGGTGATGGTCACCGCGTTGAATCAATGTTGATTCAACATAGAAGTATAAACCTTCAACAGTGAAACATTCGATCCACACCAAATCAACGTTGAATCAGTTATGTGCTACCTGGGTTCATTTATATACGATGTTGAATCCAAGATATAAGATGCTTTTTCCACACTTTTGAAACCGAATACTGAGATCGCCATCTGCGCAACCTTTCATTGTACGACTCTGAAATTTTTTCCAAGCATTAGAAACTTCTAAAATCGAGTTCATATTGCGACGATATCGCATGGAAGCAAGAAAATTAGTTGTATATACTTTCCACCTGAATTGACACCTCCTCCCCTTTTACAAGGCTCCCCTTTTACATTTTTCCTACTCACCACAAATTTCTGAAACCGAGTTTATATTGATATTTGCAAGAAAATCCTTTTCTCACTCGCCCCAAACCGAATTCCGAATTCGACACCTGCGACTAGTACGATGGGCGCAACTGAAAATTTTCATAATCATGATAAACAACTGAAATCTAGTTCATAAAGATAAGCTGTCGCACCGAAGGAAGAAAAAGCATTCCTCACATTCTTCAAGCTGAAAGCTGAAATCGACTGGAATCGGCGAGAATGGAAATTTTTTAATCATCACAAACAACTGAAACTTCTTCAACTTTTAATCATCAATAATCCAGAAATCCTCTTTTGAAAAATGGCGAAATAAGAGTGAACCAATCCAAATGCAAAATGCATTATATTCCAGTAATGTATAATTGTATAATCTAGGCAGTATGGCAAATTTCCATTGACTGAAACGCTGAAATATGCTCCATCCTGGCACGACTATGAATGAGAGCTTGAAAAAGTCGGGAAAGTAAGAGAAATAAAAAAAGGTCGATGCTGTTTTACGTTTGTTCGTATAGGGTGGTCCAAGTCAAGTGTAACCAACAAAACAACTTGAAATTGCACGTTTTATTGACTTCAAATCTGCACAGCCTGCTCCTGACATAATGAACCAAACATGACGTAAATTTCACTAAAATTGGCCACCTTTGGCCTTGATTATGGCCCTGAACCTCTTCTTGAAGTTGTTGACGCTGTTCCTCACCTATTTAATTGGAATTTCGTTCCAAATACGAACCAAATATTGCCTGAAATTATCCAGACTGTCGTGGGGCTTGGAACAGACCTTAGACGCGAGGATCGACCACAGGGCATAGTGAAGATGGTTCAGATCTGGAGACGATGGGGCCACTCCTCCATGGTCAAGAACCTTGGTAAATTTGTTCGACACCAGTCCTGGGTCACATTAGCCGTATGAGACGTTGCTCCGTTCTACTGGAATGTCCAATGCTCATTCCCGAACAGACCTTGAGCCCAGGGGAGCAGGGCGCCCAGGCAGGATGGATTTTATGTAGACGTCCTTGATTTTAATGCTCTCGGGAACGAAGACAATGGGGGGACTTGCCATTGTTGATGACGGCTGGTCACACCATAACGGAGGCCGGCTTCTGGGTGCGGAACATCAGTCCAGCATTGTAGTGAATCTCCTCTCGACTTCATGCCAAAAAACAATAATTTTGCCTATTGTAAATTGAATGCACCGTGAATAACTTCTCGTCCGAAAAGTAGATGTTGAGGGCCGAACCATTCTTGAGCCTCTCCAGCATCTGACGACTTTGGGACAGTCTCTTACTCTTGGTGGCCGGACTGAGGAGCTGTCGCTTTTGGAGCCGGTGGGAGGTGAACCCTAGATCGTTCTTCACCACCCTTATCATCGTCGACCTCGAGATATTCATCTACTCCGCCATCTTCCTGATGGATCTGTTGGGATTGCGCCAAATCAGGCGCTTGACTTGGTTGACCAATTTCTTCGTTCTCGTCGTTTTCCTGCAACCTTCAGATTGTCTGGCGGTGAGCCTGTCTCAAGGTATCGATTCAATGTCCCTTGATGAA